TACAATAGAGGGGAGGGGTGTGGTTTACTGTTAACGCTCCCATTTTGCTGTTGAGGAAACTAAAGCACAGAGAGGTTAAATATGCACCCAAGCTTACAAAGCTAGTAAATGGGAGGACTGGGATTTGACCCAACTTGTCTAGCTTCACTGTCCTGGCTTTTGTAATGTACTATCTATGAAACAAGCAGAGTATGATCAAACACTTGCTATGGTCTGAATGTATGTATCCCCCACTCCCCAATTTATATGTCGAAACCTAACTGCCCAAGGTAATGGTATTAAGAGGTGGGGCCTTTGGGGGGGGGTGATTAGGTCATGAGGGCAGAGAACTTGTGAACGGGATAAAAAAGAGGCCTTTGGGAGCTTGTTTGCGCTTTTGCCCTTCTGCCACGCGAGGACACACAGAAGGCACTGTTTGAGAGGAATGAGCCCTCAGTAGACATCAAATCTGCCTGTGCCTTGATCTTGAACTTCCCAGCCTCCAGAACTGTGAGCAATACATTTCTATTGTTTATAAATTATCAAGTCTAAAGTATAGACAGTCCCCAACTTATGATGATTCAACTTAGGATTTTTCGACTTTATGATGGTGTGAAAGTGATATGCACTCACTAGAAACCGTGCTTCTATGGCGATGTGGGGCAACAGCAGCGGGCTGTAACTCCCAGTCTGCAGCATGGTTTTGACATAGGATATTTCAATTTACGGTGGGTTTATTGGGATGTAACCTTATCATAAATCAAAGAACATCTTCTGTTGAAGCTGCCTGAGTGGACTAAGACAACATGCTAAGCAGTTAATGCGGTGGAAATACAGAGAAGAAAGTGTATGTCTTATTCAGCAGAGACCTCATGAAGGAAAGTGTGTTAGACCTTGAAGAATAGGAAAAAAAATAGCTGTGGGGACATAATGACTGTAGTGGTGAAAATGTAGTGACAGAAGTGAATGTTTACTAAGTATCCCTGTATGAGACACTTGTGGTGGATTGTCTCATTGAGTCCTTACCAATGCTGAGGTACCTTGGAGTGTTTCCATTTTATAGGAGAGGAAGTAATGACACTGACATGGACATGTGTATGTTTAGACTTCTAAAGAGTGGAAGAGGTGGGATTTGAACTTAGTCCGACTCCAGACTAAGTTAGTCTGCAATATGTTAGGGGCATTCCATCCAAGGGGAGGAGAGTGATGAACTTAGGCTCAGGTGGGCTAGTGTAAAGCATGCTTGGGAAGTGTAAAGATTTAGAAATGTAATTACTGAATTGTGTTGCACATCTCAATCATCTTTGGAGGGTGTTTCAAATACAGATTTCTGGGCCCTGTTATCAGCAGTTGTTGCTGTACAGCAGACCACAGACTAGTACCTGGAGAGTCACTGACTGGAGTGTGATATACGTGCCAGTGAGTCCAGTTGGTGGTCAAAACATGGAGAGCTTCAATTTCATATTAAGGAGTTTGCACATGCTAGAATTTTACAGAGTTAGGCCTGCCCATCTCCTTGTATCTAGTGTTGTGCTTAGGGGCTTGACCTTCTAAGGAAGGAACTGGATCTGTGAACATCCTTGGGTGGTCACACAATTAAAAAGTGAGATGATTGGAGGATGGAGCTGACATTTAAGTGCAGAGGGGATTGTAGGGCCTGTGGATGGGATCCTCTTCCAGGTCCTAGAAAGTAATCAGATTCATTTGCCACGTTCAGCATGTTGAATGATAGCAGAGATAGTTTTGGGTAGAACATTTGGTATATTTGTCCTTGATTCAGCCACCCAGGAAGTATGGATGTATACTCCAAAGAAAGGCAAGGACTTTGTGTATTAAAATAAATACTCACACATACACCAATATACACTCACACATACACTAATAAAATAGGTCTCTCAATCACTTCTTCCATCCCTATCAACCTCTTTCCTATCTCTCTTTTTTTTTTTTATTACAGCATATTATGGGGGTACAGATGTTTAGGTTACGTATGTTGCCCTTGCCTCCCCTCCCCGCCCAAGTCCGAGTTTCAAGTGTGTCCATCCCTCGGATGGTGCGCATTGCACTCTTTGTGTATGCATATACCCGTCCCCTCCTCCCCTCGCCCCTGCCTGACATCCAATAGACGTTATTCTTATATGTGCACTTGTGTGTTGCTCAGTTAACATGTTCCAAGTGCTTCGCAGAGTTCTAGGACACTAGCCATGGGTGAATGTGGAGAAAGAAGTGAGTGATTCATTCTGTGTTGATAGAATGCCTTCGCAGAGGAGGGAAATACCTGACTATTCACAGTAATGATTTTAAATGGTGCATAGGAAAGAAGACACAACATATGCAAAAGATTTGGGGCTATTGAACACTTGTTGCCTCAGGGGAATGTTAATTAACAAGAATGAATTAAAGTGAGTGAAGAATGTTGGCATTGTGTTTGGCAGGGGTCGAATGTGAGCCTTGAGTTAGTACATAGGAATGCCTATTATGTAGGAAATATATAAAGTATGATGTTTGGTAAGTAATTGTTGTTTACATCAATTGTACCTGCTATTATTATTATCGTTAGGCAGAGACCGAAATGTGATATGGCACTACGAGCATGATGAGCTTAGACTTTATCCTCTTGAGGATGTGGAGTGACATGCCGACGTTGGATTTTTGATAGTTTGCCGATATGTGGAGACCGGGCTGAGAGACCTGTTCAGAGACTGTCGCAATAATCCAGGCAGGAGATGTAATGAGAATCTGAACCATGATAAAGGCCGTGGGGATGGAGGAGTGTGTTAGTCAGTTCAGCTGCCATAGCAAAATACCGCAGGCTATATGGCTTAAAGAACCGAAATTCATTTTCTCCCGGTGCTAGAGGCTGGGAAGTCCAAGATCCAGTTGCCAGCTGATAAGGTTGCTGGTGAGGGCCCTCTTCCTGGGGATTAGGGGTGGGAGAGAGTGAGCTCTCTGGTGTCTCTTACAAGAAGCTAATCCTATCTTGTTAGGGTCTCATCCTTACGACCTCATTTAACCTTAATTACCTCCCGGGAGGCCCTGTCTCTAAATGCCGCCACGTTGGAGGTTAGGGCTTCAACATGAATTGGGGGAAGGGGGACACAGTTCTGTGCATAGAAAGGAGTAAAATCAGTGTCTTGCCTGCCTCCTTGAATGTGGTAAGACAAGGGTGGACTTGGGAATGCCTTCTGGGCTTTAGATTTGCGGTACTGGCTGGGTGATGGTGTCACTACTTGCCGTAGGATTGGGGAAAGGATCAGAAGGTTTCTTGGTGTGTATTTTATTAAAATTGTTTTTGTCCCATTAAAGTTTTTGTGGAGACTGGTAAGTAAAACTAGGACTTTTGTAATTTCTTCTACCCAAAAAGGAAGGTGCTTCTAATCCTCTTCAATTACTGGCCAATTGGTCATATTTTAAATTCTACAGCGGGTGAATTTTATGTTCACTTGTTGTTCCCTTGGCAATTATTTCTATTTTGTGATGTGCCAGAAAATATAGGCAATACATTTATCTACATAGTAGTTGTGTAGAATAAGAGTGATTTATCTGAAAATTAGGTGTGTATGTGGTGTTGAGGTTTATCTACCTTTTTTTTTTCCTTCCACATTTTGGCATTTTAGGTGTGTGACCCAGTGATACCTTATTGACAAAGATACTTCCTATCTTCCATCTCTTGTTTGTAATTCATTTCTCTGCTTCTGCACTGCTTTCCCTCTTATCCTATACCTGTTTATTTAATGTTTGCTCATGTTTTTAGATAGTTGAGGCAATAGCTTACGGGCAATTGGCAAGTCATACGTATGTGGAGTCCAAGTCGTGCCTTTTGGAGAACTATTGCAATATGTGATTTTCAGCATTGCATCAAAGTTTGCTCAGGGAAATTTACCTTGTTTGGGTGTGTCTCATTTTATTACTTCATTATATGTGTGTTATGCATATTCTGTACTTTTTCCTTTTTATTGAAGCATTATATACAGAAATTTGCACATATGCATTTTTAGAAAGTGATCACATCTATATAACCAGCACCTGGATAAATTGACTTTTTTTTTAATATTATGTTTTTTGGAAGAAAAATGAGCCTATATGAATCTGCTGTGTACACTGGAAAAAAATGTAACCTTTAAACCTTTTCCTTGTCCTTTCGTGTTAGTGTGTTCGCGTTACTGTGTTTTCTGTTACTTAATGTATTTAAAAGTTAGCTAATTATTCAACTAGTGTTACCTTGTATATCAGTATTAATTATTTCTGTATAATGCTGCCTGCTTTTGTGAGATGAAAACCATTGACCTGAGAAGTATGTTCTAACTGCTTTTTAAATCTTTGAAAGTAAGTGTAGTGAAGGGGAAAGTTGTTTATATTTAGCTACTGTTAAGAAAAATTGCCTAAAACTTGGAAGTCAAAACAGTGTTCTTTCAGGCCCTTCTTGGGCATCTTGTTTAACAGGCCTACCCTGGGGATATTTAATTCTAATTCCTGTGCCTGACTTTGCTTTTTGTTGAGTAGAGCCTGGACACTGGGAAGTTACCTGTTAGCTTAGAAATTTTTGTCCAGTAGAAAAGATAACCCCAAATGTTATGGGTTTATTGTCTTGTAGGACATTACCAGTTCTTTATCTAACCTAGTTGTCTTATTCTAATACGTTTTAAAAAATGCCTTTTCTGATGAACTGTGTATACCTGTTCCACAAATGCTCTTGGAACCAGCTTTACCATCTTACTCATTCCCTCGTTAATTAATTATTTGAATAAAATTTTTGATACATGATCATTCTGTATTTGTGTCAGTGTCATTTTTTACCTTTTTGAAAGTCATAGTTTCGTGGCATTTCTGTCCTGTACCTCCACACCATACCTAGGCGTTGACTCTGGAGGGCCTGCAAACAACGCACAAAGATTCCGAACTCCGTGAGTGAGAATTATTGTCCTAATTTCTGTTGTATTTATTCAAAGAAAGCTTATAATGCAAAACTAGATTTTAATACTTAAAATATCTTAATAAGTTACTTTTCTTTTTTTTCGCAGGTGAAAGCACATAAAGCGGTCACTGCGGAGAAAATAACATTTTGAGAAATTTTCTAGTCACAGTCGATAAAGGAGAAACCAACAGAGGAGTGCATCCTCTTGTGTATCTCATTGTCCTGCTTTTCATAATTCAGCTTAGTAATGAAGCCACCATTATGTCTTCAGTCAGTGAAGTAAATGTGGATATTAAAGATTTCCTAATGAGCATTAACTTGGAGCAGTATCTCTCACGCTTCCGTGAGTCTGGTTTTACTACTGTGCGGGACTGTGCAGCGATAAATGATAGTGTGCTACACAAAATTGGAATATCACCTACAGGACACCGCCGGAGGATACTTAAACAGTTACAAATAATCTTGTCAAAAATGCAGGACATGTCAATATATGCAAATGTTCATAAAGCAAAGAAGAATGATGACACTTCAAAGGATCACCATGCTACATCTCCAGGTCAGGATACCTGCGGAGCACTTTCAGATTCTGCTAGTGTTCTGACAACCAGCCCACCACAGTTGGAGACTGTTACAAAAAGTTTTGATGAAATTGATGTTGGTGTGGAAAATAGCCAACCTCTGCAATCAGATGATAAATTGTCTCTTTCTAAACATGACCTTCCTGCTTCAGAAGAACCACACCCAAATATGGAACCTTTTCATGATTCTTTTTTTGGTAGTGAAAATATTAAAATAGAATCTTTGGTTACAAAGAAGACTATGGATTGCACGATCGAAGAACAACAAACAGAAAAAGTTAATTTTATCTCAGAAAATCTCAGCAAGCTTCCTAAGGCAGACCCTGAATGCATTTCTTCAGTTGGCTGTTCAACATCAGAAGAAAATTCTGGAAATGGACCTAATGGTGTATTAGAAAAATCACCACCGTCCCCGTTCTTTCAATTTCAAGGAGAAATGGTTGTAAATGATTTGTATGTTCCATCATCGCCAGTCCTATCACCTATGAGAAGTCGTAGCAAGTTGGTTTCAAGACCATCTCGATCTTTTCTGCTAAGACATCGGCCTGTACCAGAGATCCCAGGGTCGACAAAAGGAATTTCAGGGAGGTAAGAATTTTTATGATAAGTGTAAGTATTCAGTTTGAGGGAATTTAGTTATTTTTTTAAACAGTTATATTTTCAGTGTTCCTTTCTAAATTGAATTAACGTTTATTCTACCAGCCTTTTCTTCTCTTTCAGAAATTTTCCTCGTGCCATTGTATGTTACTTCCCAGAGTCTGTTTCCAATAGAAATAAATCTTATAACTGCCTGGAACTCTTTAGCTTTTCCCTGTTAAATTGGGGGAAACATCCCTTACCCTAATTCTACCTGGGCATTTCTTCCCATACCTTTCCTCCACGCCTGGAATTGTAGTCTTTTCCATTAGTGCAGTTCTCATATTTGAGTTTCTGACTATGTTTCCCCATTAGATTATTTATTCTTTGGCAGGGAATATGTCTTCAACGTCTCTATCTCTGCTGCCAGGAACAATGCTTGGTGCCAGTTAATAATTCAACACGTGTCTGTTGAAGTTGTTCCCAGTCAGTGTGCTAGGTGGGAAGGATGTAAAAAAGAATGAAAGGACTTGCAGTCTAGTGTAGAGGACAAGTGTCAAAAGATGGTAACAGTATAGTTATGAAACCAGGTTCGTTAGAGACTACAACTCTGGGACCCCAAGGAGGGGTCCCACCAGTGTAGATGACTGCATGGAGGAAGTAGGTCATTGGTATCCTGAGGTCACTGAACAGTTTGAGAGGAGCTGATTTTTTTGCAGCAGAGAGAGCTTTCCTCTGTTTCTCAACGTTATACCTAAAATAGTTATGGTTTTCTCCAGGGTTGGGGTGCGATATTACTTTTTCCACTAAGAGCTATCACTTGCTTCTCTGCTGGGAGACCTGAGGCTGTTCAAGTTTGACTGCTACTGCAGTGGCACTAAAGGCTTTACACACTTCCTGCACTGGCACCAGGCTGGCCTTTCTGCAGGTTTCCCCTTCGCTCCTAGAACCTGTGGCTGCTACTGATTCTGTTGCCCTTAGGCATCTTTGGTCATTGCAGTGCAAGTTGTATTCGCAAGAGAAAAGGTAGCAATTTAGTGTTTCCCAGGGAAAACATGGCAATTTGCAAGATTGTTAATTTAAGGATCTCCTATTAGCCATAAAGTCTTTGATGGCAGAGGCCCTAATTAATTTGGCTTTATCTTGACATCCCTAGTGCCAATAGCAATGTCAGGTATTTACAAGAAAATCAATAGTAATAGTGTTATTTATTAAACACTTAAGTGCTAGTTTGGTTTATAAGTTTCTATGGCTTATCCCATGTTCACGAAGGCCCTGTGAAGTAGATAATGTTCACCCCATTTTACTTACAAGATAACTGGCTCTAAGGTTAATTTTCACAGGATCACAAAGGTAGTGAACTGGGATTTCATTCTAGTACCTTCTACTCCAGAACCCACTTTGTTAATCACTCATTTAATAAATATTTTTAAGAATGTTGATTGCATATGTAAGAATTAGATTATTTCTTGGGATTGAAGAAGGCCACTAATTTTTGTATGACAATTTAGCATTTAAAATATTTTGCTAATTTCGAACAATTAAAGGAAAGTAAATGAAAAATTACAAATCTTCAAATGGCAAAAGCTTTTAACATGTGAGAAGGGTCTATTATGAGTACACAGGTTAAAACTGCAACTTTGACAGAAAAGAATCCTTTTGGGAGTTGTAAAGATAGCTTCAGATAAGAAACATTTGGTTTAAGTTTCAAACAGTATGTGCTATTTTTCATGAATTTTACAGAGAGTAATTTGATGCTCATTCAGTTGTATAGGGGCAGCAAAAGTCCACCTCCTTCCTCTTAGGGTCCTAGCTGGGTCTGGGAATTAAATTGATATAAGACAGATCAACAGGAGAAAAGCATGCAAATTTATCTAATGCAAGTAATACACATTTTATGTGGCACGGGAACTCTCATAAGGAGATGAAGACCCAAAGAAGCAGTTACTGTCAAACACTTATGTGCTGAATTCCACAAAGAGTAATAGGATGTGAAAAAGTAACTAAATTATATGGGCAGGCCCAAAAGATAAGAGTTATCTTAACAAGGTCCGTAGAGAATTCTTTCTACCTCAACTTCTTGTCCTTGAGGATAGGCTGTTATTCCTTTCACATGGGAATTGCATCTCCTGCTTTTAAGAAACAGCTGCAAGGTCAGAGTGATCTTTTTGCACCTGCTGTTCTCCAACACTTGAATTAAGTGTCTTTCGTTCAAAAATAGTCAATATGCCAGAGTGGTATCTTTTCAATTGCTTCAGTTGTAAACATAAGCTTCGTTTCATATAAAGGCTCGTTACTCACTTTGTATCTTTGAAAATGAGAATTGAAACAACATTAAAATTAGTAGGAAATAATTTAGTGCTAGCTGTGCCATGACACTATTTTCAATGTGATTTTTAGGTCAGATGACCCATCGTAATCTTTCTTTTCTTTGTGCTAATGATAGTAAATGAAAATTATGCTTTTGTGGTGCTCAGATCATAAAATGAACAAGTAAATTAAAATATTTTCAGACTTCATTATTTTTCCTATGGTTCATCCCTGTGTTGCAAATAGTAACGGCAAGATTTTCAAGTGTTATAATGTGACTTTTTAAATAAAACAGTGAATTTTATAATGAGTTTCTCTCTAGTCAAATAATATCTACAAATGATATATAGTACCTTCCTCGATACACCAAATAAAATACTTCTTTGTGGCCAGTTCTTTTTAATGTAATTATAAATTAAACATTTCATACAACTTTTCAAAGAAATATGACCCTGAAAGTGTTTTCCTGATATGAGGCTCTTTGTTTCTCTCTCCTGGACACTGTACTCTCCCTGCCTCCTTCCTCCTCACACATCTGACACAACTGACCCTCAGGTCAAATGGGTTGTCATTGTTCTTGCCCTGAGTTCTTCCCTGAATTCCTACCTGCTCCTTTTCTCCTGAGGGCTGGGCTGGGTGGAGCTGTGCTGGGCAATAACCTCAAGTTATCTTTTAATTCCTATCTCTTGAGAGCCAGATGAGAGCTATCCTTGAGCACCAGCGCTTTCCTTATTACCTTCACCTGGAGATCTCCCTAGGCTCTTGGAGTTCTCTGAGCAGAAACCAGCTGCAACCAGCAGCTTGCCGTTGCCATGGGAATCCTAGGTTTGTGCTGTGGCCCTGCTCAGGAGAGTCCTCTTAGTTCTTAAGACAGGAAGAAACAGGTATCTTACAGCTACTGAGTAGGTACCTTTCTCCTCCTCTGTTTAATGATTTTTATCCATCTTTCATGCAACTGTGCTATCCTAGGCATAACTCACAAAACCCTCCTCTGTTGTAGGAGAATGTTTTGGGGGAAGGGAAAATGAGGAAGAAGTAATGGGAAGGGGATGGTAAGCAAAGCCGCACTGTTGTGGGACTATATCTGTTATAAATTGATGTAATATATTGACCGTTGGAGGTCTTTTCAAAAGTTTGAAATCTAAACATGAAATCTCCAGCATTCTTTGAATTTTTATTGAAAATAAAAATCTTAGATTTTTTCCTCTGGATCTACATAGACATTCAAAATGGTTAAAATTGTTTTATAGATTTCAATTTCGAAATCTATATGAGCAAAATGTGTACAGAAAAGTAATAAACAATTGCACTGGATATCAAAAATACAGAAAGTCATATCTTTTTCATGTTAAAGAAAAAATTTACATTTCACATTATAGCAGAAAAATGCTTACTTACCCTAAAATTCAGATTTTTAAATTTTAAAATGCTTCTTAACAAACTATGAAAAAATATGCTAATTATTTCAGTATTTTCTAAATTTTGACTTGGACATCTAAATAATTGAATCAAAATTTAAATAGTTAATAGATTTATGATTACAGGATAGATGAATCAGCTTGATATTCCTTACAAGTTAAAAAGTTACTACATTTAAACTTTATTTTTGTAAATAAAAAATTCTACCTTGTTTGAAAAAAGTATATATTCAGCTTCAACTTTGCTAGTAGATTAAAAAAAATTTCATGATAATGGTTGTAGACTTATGTGATGCAATCCTTCTTTAATGATCATTTATTCTTATCCTAAGGATGTTTTTTGGAACTTCGCAGATTGAGACTTAATTTTCTGTGCATTGTAAATTTCACGTTATTGGTCTGTGTTGTAGTTAACCCACTCTCATGCTGTCTGAATTCAGACTTTTGTGTTTTGGTTAGATATGAAAACCTCTGGGCAGTTTTAAACTGCTGCCTAATGGCTGTGGTTGTTTTTCTTTTGAAGTGAACTCTGTAATGAACTGTAGTCTGTTACCAGTTGTGAGAACTGCATTTTTTTAAACACACGTTTCATGAAATGATAATCGATACATGGTATGTAATTATTTTTTTGGTGTGGCTGCCTTGCCAAGTAATGGGTAAGTATAGTTCATAAAGGGAGACCTTGACATTACCTTTATGCCACTGCTTTTCTGGGCAGTTTTAGTGATTAAAAAAAATGTTAAAAAATGACGTCTGTAGATATGCTTAAACATTCACTTTGATAATCAGAGTTACTCATTGCTTTCCCTTTTTCATGCAAGTTCTTTAAACGTTTTTATTCTGATACCAGTGATAGTTGTCTTTGCCTCTCTGGATACAATTACAAAATACTGTAGACTTGGTGGCTTAAACAACAGAAATTTATTTTCTCACAGTTCTGGAGGCTGGAAGTCTGAAAGCAAGGTGGCAGCACAGTTCGGTTCTGGTGAGGGCTCCCTACTGGCTTTCCGATGTCCACCTCCTTGTCTGTCCATATGGCCTTTCTCAGTGCCTGGGCTCGGGGACACAGGTCCATCTCCAGGGTCTCTTTTTATAAGGCTGCTAGTTCTACTGGAATAAGGCCCTGCCCTTACGACCTCATTTACCCTTAGTTATTTCCCAAAGACCCTATAGCCTTAGGGCTTCAACGTATGAATTTTGTGGGGACACAATTTGGTCCATAAGAATAGTTTTTCTTTACTTGCCTGAAAATTTGTTAATTCTCTAAGTAATAAGACTTGGGCA